CACGGAAGGGCAGTTTAGAGCCCAGAGCTGCCCCTACAGGCCCCTCAGGAGGATGCTGCACCAGCTGGGTGCTCCTGCCAGGCTCCTGCCTAGACCATGGTCTCTGTCTTTGCAGTTGCTGCCAGGTCCGAAAACACTGTGAGTGGTGCCGGGCACTCATCTGCCGGCACGAGAAGCCCAGTGCCCTCCTGAAAGGAAGGACTGCTTGCTGCCACTCAGAAACAGGTAAGGGGCTGCATCGAGTAAGGGCCTTTTACACTTGGGAGATAACATTGAGTAGAGAAAATGACCACCCTCTCCAGGTCAGAGCAGAAGTTCTTGGAAACAGAAAGAAGGGAGAAAAGGAAGAAGATATTTATCACACCAAGTCAGGTTTAGTTTATTCTAAGGTATGTTTGACTCAAAAGGGAGCTCTTTTATTCTTCCTGGTGACTGTGACTTTTAACAAGTTACTTAGCCTCTCTGAGCCACAGTTTTCTTATTAAAAAGACATTGTGCAAATTGAGTAAGTACTGACAGAGTACCTAGTATAGTATATCACTAATTGTAGACATACAATAGATGTTCATTTTCTTTCCCTTGAGAAGTCACCTACCTTTTTCCATCCATGAAATAAGGGTTTTGGCCTATAGAAGGTCTCTAAGGAGTCTTTAAACTTAAATCCTGCAGCTGTCATTGTTTACTATCATTTCATGAATATTTTTCAACATCCACAAAGAAGATTGGATATCTAGATGTAGAGTCAAGCCCATATCTCAGGAACCTTCATCTGAGCATCATGGAGCCAAATTGCTCCTTTATCCAGACAAGCTCTGAAAGTCTCACATCAACAGTTTTTCTGGAATACTATTTTGACCAAGAAAGCCCATCATAGAAGTTCCTTTCCAAGAAGTACTGGGTCAGGAGACAGTCACCACAGGCTGATCCACCCAGAGGTGTCCTTCTCTGGTAAACACTTGGCATTTCAGAAGCTCAAGGTTTCCTGGAAAGGGTAGGAAGAAAAGCAGCCAGGAAGTTGGAACACTAATGTGGTCATTAAACATCGTGGTATCTGACTTGGAGGGAACTGAAGGCCCAGAAGCACCATTTATTTGTTCTTCAAGGACCATAGTATTTGTGCATGGGCAATTCTTTTGACTTGGGAGGATGCTAATCCATTCATCCTCATAATCGCCTTGGGTGATGTGGGTAAACTGAGTCCACTAAAGGCCTGCATGGGTCCCACCACGAGTCCGTAGGGGAGCTAGGATGAGAATCAAGGCCTTTAAACTAAAGGCCCCACTTACATCTCTTCTACTACCTCTGGGGGACATCTTTTGAGCTAATAATGAAGGTAAATATTTTTATTTTGTCTTTTAGCACCAATTAAAAAATTGTTTAAACCTTTTAAGAAAATTTAGAGTAGATTTTTGTACCATTTGTCTGCACTGCAACAGAGTAATTCAGGGTAGAGTAAGTTTCTTAATGTTACTTTTTCTCTACCCACATCAGAAAGGACTTTAGCTTTGAACCTGGGAATGGGTCTGGCCTTCCAGAAAAAAACCACTGAGGCTGAGATGACACATACCTCCCCAACTCCAGAGGGACCCTGGGAGGGGCCAGGATAGGAAGATGTCCAGGCTGACTGGGCTCGGGAGCTGCTGAGAACATGGTCCAAGCTGCCTCACCACAGCAGCCACAGAGGATGCCCCCAGAGCCCCACCCATTGAGAAACAATGGATCCCTTCTTGTCTGACCATAGAGGAAGTCATTCTGCCACCAGAGCCCTACACCAGCTTTAGCTGCCCACTAAACCACAGCTTCTGGGGGAACTGGCCACAGGCTGGGTTGAATCACCTCCAGTTGAATTGAGGCCCACACAACAGAATGCACCCCCATTCTCTTCTGCCACAACTCCTTTCACTTTTGGTCAGCCTTTCCTTGGGCGTTGAAAGCATCGTTTCAGATGCTGCTGCCCCTGAAGCTGAAGCAGCAGAATTTGTACTCAGGCTTGACTGGCCGAGAGAACCCGGTGACATTGGCTGATGCATCTCCAAGTTTCTGTCTCAAGCATAGCTGGGGTCCGACCCACAGAGCTTAATCTGTTTTTTCTTCCTTTCAGTGGTTTGAAGAGCCCAGAGGAGTTCGGCCAGGTGGACTGCAGCAGCCCTGATGAAGAAAGGACTTCTTCAGGATGGCCCAACAAGAGATGCCCGGGGTGTGCTGGCAGACCTTTCCACTCTGCCTGCGATCACCTGTGCAGCCTTTCTGTCTTTGGTGGGCCTTCCTTCGAAACTCTGTCAAGAACTCTGTCTGCTTGGGGTTATTCGGTGTAACCTAGAAAAATCAGTAGACCACAATTTAAAGACTGGTCAACAAGTCAACAAAGAACTGCAAAGGGTGGACTTCCTGTTTACCTAGATAAGGTGTGTGCATCAGTCAGCATGTGTATAGTTGTCTTCTGCCATTCATGGATGCCAGGCTGTATTTCTTTTTAATGGGCCATTTCCCCACAACAGTATGCATCCTGCCCAAAACCAGAGATTCCTATAGTTGTTACGGTTTTTTTCTCATCCATTTATTGGGGAAGAAGGTGGAGAAAGGGTAACTGCTCATTGTTATGTGAAGATGCCACATTTAAAAAGAGCTGTGTCTGTCCTCTGTCCATGAGACCATCAACCAGCCCATCGTCTTCCACATACACATGATGTTGAAGACCCCAAGTCATCACCACCCTTGGAGATAATTTATTTGTTAGATGGATGGTTTTATTTTTAATCTCAAGACAATGTAAAAAGCATACAGCTCTTTAAGACTTCTACATTAATGATGGACATATTGTTAGCTGCAAAATTATACTGATTAAAAATGTATGACCTCTTTGGGACAGCTAAGGCTTAGGAAAAGCCACCCAGGAGGTACAGAGATGGAAGCAGAGGATGAGTTGCTGGCGGGAGCAAAAAGTGGGGTTCAAAGGTTGTGTCATTTAAGACAAAGCAGATAAATGCCCCTGGATACATTCTGGTGGAAAAGTTAGCCAATTTGACAGCATAGATGTCACCTCTGTCAGGGAAGATTGGAAGAGAGTGCCTGTGTGTGCGTCTACACAGGTTAAACGCAGTACTTACTACACTGCTCCGCAATTAAACATCGACTCCCTAGTGAGCCCTCCAAGAGACTGTTTAGAAAAAGAGCATTAGCAGAGAGCCATGGGCATTTGGGGCCACGTCCATGAAAGAGGAACTGGTCATTTAGTTTCCATTTTGTGGCTTCATTTATTTGTTGCTTTATTTTCAAAGGGAGAAACTTAACTTTCCTATTTATTTTCAAGCATGAAGAGAAATATTCCAGTGATTTTTTTTTTTTTCTCATTCAGGATGCTGCTTTTATTAACAAAAACTCTAAGAAACCACCTCTACCATGTGGGTCTTACTTTCCCCTCAGAGAAGGGAGGAATTGTTCTCTTGGGCATCTGGGCCTCTCTGACCCATTGGCCGGGCTGCTGAGAAAGACTGGTTTCCTCCAACTAGGCAGTGGGAGCTCATCCCTAGGATCATTAAAATTTGGAAACAGAATAATAATGAAATAATATATGAACTCTTTATGTGAGGGAACTCTTTCTTCACTAATATTTGGAAAAAAATTAAAGATTTCCGTACATTGCACTCCTTGCATTGTGAAATCGACCTTTAAAATATGTCAAGTTGGCTTGAAATTTCTATCAGGTAGTTTCGTTCTCCCCTAGTTCTTCCCCAGTCTGTCTATTTCAATGACTTTTCTCTTCCTTTCTTACAACTGAGACAATTACATGACCCATGTCTTAAACTTTGGCACTTTTTTTGACTCATGCTATACCCGAAGCACAGAGCAGAAATGGGAGCTGTTCACCAGCTGGCCACCTAACCATGTAACTGACACAGCTCCCACATTTTAATTACAAAAGAAAACAGGTTTAGGTTTACATTTCTTGGCCCAGTCCTACAGCAACAGGTATGTGGGGCTAAGGCCGACTACAGCATCTCACTCAGAGACCAATCCGATTGACGCTGGTTTACAGACCCCAGTTTGCATTCACTTTTCCCATCAGACTCTCCTGAAAGTCTGAGATTCTGATTTAGACAGATTAATGAAAGTGGAGTAGTGTCAATTGTTTTTAACGTGAGGTCACATTTTTACTTTAGGACAATCTTTCCTCAGTCTTTTAGAGACTCTTTGACGTCTGATTGCCTTTAAAGAATATGAACTGTTGTGAAGAAGTCTTATGAGCTTTCTTCACCTAACAGATAGAAGGATCAGTGTCCAGTCATTAGCATCCAAGAGCTTTTGCAGAGGTGCAAGAAGATGCAGATGGAAGCAGAGGGAGCCTTCTTGGTTCCCTGTGGGGACTTCATGTTTAGTGACTGTGAATGCTCTGGTCCTCAGGACCAGGAAGTCACAGTTACCAGTGCCCCTTCCTTGTGACTATACAACCATGCAGTGAACAGGCTCAAATGTGTGCTTCACTAGAAGTGCCTATCGGATCAGTTCTCTGTAAACCAGAAGGTCTGAAAAAGAGTTGGAAGCAGAGGCTGGAGTCAAGGCAGGGGTGGTTGGACCTTTATCCATGCCCTAGGATATGACAGCCTTGTTTCTTTGGTGATTTCTCTTCTAGAAATCAGATGGCCAACAAGCTTTGGATTCCTGTGCCATTTCATAGCATTGGTACTTCTTTGTTTAGCTATAAAAATATCCTCTTTTCAGATTAAAAATGCATTTGTAATCCATGTCTGCAGGTTCGTTATGTAACGATTAGGGAATCATTCCCAAGACCTGACCTGATAGGCAGCCACATCTGGGAGCAGGGAACACAGCTGTTTCCAATATCTGTCTCAGGAGAAATGAAAAGACTTTTTTTTAAGGGAGGAGGCACTTTTACACTAATTATGGAGCCTGGATTCTCCCACTGTTCTACAGGCCATGACTTCTTTAAACATACTGGCAGGAAACTTTTTCTTCTAGATGAAATGATATACAGCAGCCAATCGTGATCTGGAAAACAAGTCTGGACACACATGGGAGAAAGCAAGATGTGAGCTTGCCATTGTGTGGTAGCAGAGGAGGTGGGCAGAATGTCCTCGGAGTTTATTTTCCTGAGAAAAGAGAGGGAGGTGGGATTGACACTCCTCCACCTACATTGGCGAGGGAGGAGAAGATGTGGTTCTAGAACTTCTTGGGAGATTGTTCTCTGCAGATGGAGAAAAGTGGCATCTTCAGCCAGGTCTCGCAGGGCCAGATTGTCTCAGTGCACACAGGCAGCTGGTTGCTTTTCCAGGCAATTTTGGCAGAAATGGGTCAGCCAGCCTCCAGCACTGCTCAGGGGACCCTGACCCCTTATTTTCCCTTAGTAGGATCTGGATTTTGACTTCTCCCAACCTGCTCAGTGAGGACGGGGGATGATTTAAAAGCCCAAGGCCAAAGGGGACATCACAGAAACAGGCAAACATCTATGTTTGTTCTTAATGTTCTAACATAAGACCTGTTCTCCGCAGCCCCTGATTTTACCAGGCTTTCTGAAAGATCTGGTGGTAAGCACACACACACGGTACTGAAAAGTGACCCCTCTTTCTAGTGTAATAAGTGACTGAAGCGTTAAACTTTTCATTATCTTTATTATAACAAACCTGATGCTTTTTTTTAGAACTTGTTACTCTGACTTCTGTATATGTTGCACTGAAAAGGTTAATATTTAATGTTTTAATTTATTTTGTGTGGTAAGTTAATTTTGATTTCTGTACTGCGTTAATGTGATTAGCGGTTCTTTTCCTTGATATCTGAATTATACATATTTAAAGAGTAGTGAGCAATGTAAAATGCAGTTGTATTTTTCAGTAATATGCATTGTTATTCAGTTGTACTGTACCTTGTTTGGAAGGATGAAGGAATGAACTCTTTTTCCTAAATCAAGACTGGATCTTTTCTTTTGCGAGATTGGGATATTGCTGAAGCAAATTAAAATTTTTCTCTGCAAATGTGAATGATTAGAAAAAATTAGATGTTCCTTTTCAAAATGTGGGACTCCTAAAATGAACCACAGTTGATCTGCTTGAAGAAACCAAATTCTCTGAAGTTCTTCTCAATATATAATATTTCATCTACTATGTGTCCAACGATATGCTAACTAATGTATAGGAAAACGAAAACACAATCTCCGCCCCAAAGAAATTGAGATCTAGCTGGGAAGACAGACTGACAAACAGAAAATCCCAGACTAATTTTAGACAAAACACAAATAAACCATGAAATTGTAAGGTAGAGATTATGCATTACTTGCTGTAATTCTTAAAGTGTGGTCCCCAGACCAACAGTATCGGTATCACCTGGGAACTTCACAGGAATGCAAATTTTCAGGCCCCACCCCAGACTTGTTAAACTCTAGAGATGCCCCATGCACCCTCCAACACCCAGGTGCTTCTGATACATGCTCAATTTGAGAACCACTGTGCTGTAAGACTCAGTGAAGAGCAAATTAGTGTAGGGCTACAGTTTTTAGGAAAAGTTTTATAGAGGCAGGGAAAGTGAAACTTAACACAACTTACCCCTTAGCGTTCAAAGGTAATAGACACCAGGAAGTATGGTCTTAAATAAAGATGTGTGTTGATTTGGATCTTCTCTGTTCAGCCAAGTTAAAGGAAAAAAACAGTCCTCTCCATCTCCTGCCACACCCCCGCTCACCCGCCCCCGTCCCCTACTGCCCAGTGTCTAACGAAAGAATTGTTCTAAAACTGTCAACCCGGTTCTTACAAGCCTCACTGCACTTGAATTCCCATAGTTAAGCCTCTGCACTTCTAATCCATGTGCGTACCTCACATGCGCAACATATGAGGAGCTCATGGAGAAAAGCAGAGAAGCGGACTGGCGTGAGATCTTAGTCTCAAAGGAAGGTTCAGCTCTCTGTAGCCTGGAATGAGTGTGTGGAGACTGTTGTCCAGGTGCCACAAGGCTCGGGATTGGCCTGACTTGCAGGAAGATGGACACCCAGGCACCTTTTTGTCCAGAGTTTCTTTACCTCTGTCCCTCAACAGAGTCTTTACCCACCTCTTAGAGAGAGGGCAAGACCTCTCTCTACACATACTTGGTGTGCCCCCTCATGACCCTATTCCATCTTCAGGGATATCTCCCGGCCTTACTACTAACCCAAGGAGTTTTCTATTCATCCATCCTATGTCTTTTCCTCCTCCCCAATTTTCAAGCCCTCTTCCTCTCAAGACTGCCTGCCTGCAGTGGCTGTCCCTCATCCTAGTTAGGTACGCTGAACTGTTTGGGGTGTTGAGGGACACAACCCAGGAAAAATGACCTATGAACTTTGAGTCAAGCCAGACCTCCTAGGTGACCTGCAGTTGCCAACTGGAATACATGTTCTAGACTGTTTGAGCCTAGTCTTTTGGGGTACTGTTGGCCCAAACTTCAGAGCCCTGTTTTGCCTGGTTTCTGTATGCCCTAACTCCTGCCTGGCCCACTTTAGGGGTGTCTGAGTGTGACCTAGCCTTGCCTCCCCTCTAGCTCCGAGCTCCTTGCCCTGCATGCACCTGGAATTCTAGCACCAGCTCTCTTTCTGTCTCCTGAAACTCCTTCTTCCATATTTGCCCTCTGCAGGACTTGCTACTTCTGGCAGGCCCCAAGGTTTCTGCCGTGGCCCTTCACCTCCAAAAAGGACAAGCCCATGGTCATAAAAGCTGGATTAGAAATTCTTATTCCACTAGACTGGTGGCTCTCACCCTAGTTCAACTGAATTCTAGAATCTGTGAGTGGACCCTGGGCACTTACATTTTTTCTATTATAGTCAATGTACAATATTAGTTTCAGGTATATAACAGTGATTAGACGTTTATGTAACATGAAATGATCACCCCAATAAGTCTAGTATCCACCTGGCACCATAGTCATTACAATATTATTGACTATATTCCCTATGCCGTACTTTGTATTCCTGTTACTCTTTGTATAACCCTGAGCAATTTTTTTTTTCTGAGCTCTTTTTAAAATCTCTCCTAGTGATTCTTATACAGTCCCTTCTGCTCTTTGAAAAACACCAGGCCCCAGGGAGCAGATGGCATGGGAGAGTTTTGATGCCTGGAGCTGAGAGTGCCTGGTATCCACCCAGGGCATCCTGCCCTGGTCCCTACTTAAGTATCCTTAAGATCCAGCAGAGATTAGCCCCTGGGGAGACTTGGCGGTTTGGGCCTCCTTTCAAGTGGGATCTTCTAAGGCAGAGTAGTGAGAAAACACCTGTGGGGCAGGGGCCCGTAAGGAGTACCATGTGGCTGGCACTTGAAGTCATGCGCAAGTGGGCCATGGCTTTTCAGGAGTCAGATTTTGCAACTGGGAATAAAAACACGGCAACATTTATGCTGAAAGAGAAACAGGATTGAGATGGGAAAAGGCCTCTTTTCAGAGACATTTGCTCCGATGGAAGCTTCAAGCCCTGATGTGCAGCAGCACAGGTGTCCCGCTGCCATGAAGTCCTCCATGGCAAGTGCAAGGCCTGCGGGGGAGCCCGTCTCAGGAGGTCGGGGAGATACAGTTGAAAGCTGGGCAAGGGAACAGCTTCGTCGACCAGCACATCCTAGAGGGGCATTCCTCAGGTCTGGAAATGGGACATACCAGAAGGACTGTGTTGTGAGGAGCCGGCATCACTTAACCCCACTCCCACCAGAACAGGGCAAGCACCACAACCTCCCCTGCAGCATGACTCTCCCACCTGCCTTTGTAAAGAAACTCTCAACCAGAGCACAGGGTTCTGGGCCCCACTGGTGGAAGGAGTCCCAGAAGCGAAGATCTGGTGTAGGCTACAGCTCAGGTTCCCCTGCATGTTACATGGGGTGCTACTGATTCTCTGAGCCTCTGGGACCTATTTAACTCTTGCCTTTTTAGCTCAGGAAGTTGAGATAAAGCTTAAAAACTACCCACTTGCACAGCCCGACTCTTGGAATTAAAAATCTAGTGTAATCCTGAATGCAATTAATATCTTGTCCATGGGAGGCCCCATTCTCCAGTGACTTTCATGAGAAATATTTTCAAAGAGTCAATGGCAAACAGGGCCACAACCAGAGGATTGTGGTTCCAGGACACCACTTTTAGAAGTGTTTAGGAACCCAGAGGAAGGAGGAAATTTGTCCTCGAACAAAGAGGTATCAGTCTGGCCTTAAGGAGCAGGGCCAGGAGGCAAAAAGGTTGATTTCGGCTCCATAGAGGGTCTTTTTCATCATCAGAGCCACCTCCTGGCTGTGGCAGACTCCTGGGTCAGTGCACTCGCTAACACCAAAATGATCAAACAGAGGCTGAGTGACTTCCAGGGGCGCAGGAGGTTCCCTGGTGAACTGGTATATGAGCCAGAAAACCTCTGGGGGCCCATCCACCTCTAGTATTCTGACCACATCTCCTGCCCATGAGTCCATGGGTTACCCCAGTGCTCCAAGCCTCTACCTCCCACAGTCTTTGTGAGCCCAGAGTTGAGCCTCTGTCCTTCCCCTTTTTCTACTCTGGGTCCTGTGGCCTCCCAGAGCTTCACAGAGATTGAAGGGCTTCTCAGACCCCACCCAGCCTGCTTCTCTCCACCTGTTGGCATTGGAGCCTCCTTAGGAGGCTCCCTATACAGGAACCATAGCCTGAATGACTCTGGAGAGGGCCTTTCCTGGTTTCTCCATCCCCAAAGACCTAGATATGCCTGTGATTTGCCCTCCCAAATCCACTGTGCCCTGTGTCTGGCGCCTGACCCCTGTGTATGTCTTCCCCAGGGCTCGCTTGCTATCTGGCTTCAGATTCAACCAATGGGAGGCTCTGAAGGAGAGAAGAGGTATTTCAACCTCACTCTCACCCTGCTCCGATGCTGCTGCGTCTGAGCAATCACACCCCCCAGCACTAGGCTCTCGGGACCTTCCTCCCCAGCTCCAGCTCTCAGCACACTTCATTTACACCACTTACTCCCTTTGTCCCCTTTATTTGGGGGGAGGGAGGTGCTGTCACAGCTTCCCACATTTACTAGTTTAACTCTGCCAATCTTCCCCACCCACTCCCAGCTCTTTAATTTCCAGGAATGATTAAGCAGAAGCTAAAAAATTAAAAATGCCTCAGGAGAGAATCTAGTAATCCGAATTAGTACAACTATTTGATGAAAGCATGAGTGCCCATGAGTATATCCGAATCTGGACTGAGAGGTAGACATTGTGATAAACGGGAGTGCACAGACCCCTTCTGAAGGGGTTGGTCACTTCTCAGTTCCAGCCTGTGTTAGATATCCAGGAGGGTGGCCAGATTTTTCAGTTTTTCAAGAAAAGCAGGAAATCTTGATTTTTTTTTTCATAAAATCTCTACTTCTAAATGTGGCTTAAGATTATAAGCCAGTCTGTGGCCCCAGCAAAATCTGTCTACAGGTTACCATCCATTTGCAGCCTCCACTCTCAAGCTGTTTGCTTGTCTCTGGCTCTGCCAGGCCCTTTTACAACTCTCTGTCTTCAAAGTTCTCTTTACTTGGAATGGCTTCTTCTTTGAGCAAACTTCTGTTCCTTTAAGAACAGGCTCACACCTCACTCTCTCTGAAGCCTTCCTTGAGCCCCCATGCAGAGCCTTCCCAACACACCCAAAGCACATCCCAAATCTATGGATTAGAAGACTTAACATTATAAAGATGGCAATACTCCCCAAATTGATCTACAGATTCAAAGCAATCCCTATCTGAATATCAGCTGATCCTTTGTAGAAACTAATGAGCTGATTCTAAAACTCATATGGAATTGCAAAGGATCCAGAAGAGGGAAAACAAAGGGGAACAAAGTAGGAGGACGCATGTTTCCTGATTTCAAAACTTACTACAAAGCAATGGTAACCAAGGATCAATGGAACAGAATTGAAAGTTCAAAAACAAGGCCATACATCTATGGCTAACTGACCTTTGACAAGGATGCCAA